GAGCTAATGTGAGAAACAACCACAACAGCACAGGAGGGGGTAAACGAAAGGGCTTTTTTCTTCTTTTTATTTCTTTTCATGCCCCACCTTCCTCCTGCGGTGCGTGCTGAATTTTATTTTTATCGCGAGAAGGGTCCAGCCGTCCCTTTCCTCGTCAACGCTGCTAACGTCGAAGTTTGGTACTGACGAGAGCTTTTTAGCTTCTTTTTTTTTTTTGCCTTCCGACAATTGCAGATGTACCTCAGACAACTTTCACTTAATGTCTCATACTCTACACTACATGAATATCAAATCTCGGCGAGTGCAGATGTACAAGCTCGCATTGCGCGGGCGTCAAGACGCCGAAAACAGGCGAACAAGATCGACCTCGGACCAGTCAACGCCAATGATATGGGGATGGAGTGTAGACGCATCGTAGAACGCGTTTTCGTTTGAAGTTGGCGTCTTGTTTGAGAGTAGATGTGACAGATTTGCGTAGAATAGGGTAAGATGTTATCATGAACGGAGATGAAAGGGCTTTTCCAACACGGAGATGTAGCATGGATCAAAGCATTTGTTGGATTTCAGCTTTTACAAGCGGACATCAACGCAGTAGTATTTTAGCAAGCTTACGAACGCATATAGGATACCATCAGGATTGTCATTGGTAAGTTGAAGAGGAGATACTTTTACGATGTAAATGACAGTAGAAATAAGTCCTACATATGTTGTTGTACTTCGTATTGGTTTAATATTCATGTAGAGTATGAGACATTAAGTGAAAGTTTTCTGAGGTACATCTGCAATTGTCGGAAGGCAAAAAAAAAAAAAAACGAAGTGCAACAACATATGTAGGATTTATTTCTACTGTCACTTAAATCGTAAAAACATCTCCCCTTCAACTTGAAATAAAACCAATGACAATCCTCATGGTATCCTATATGCGTTCGTAAGCTTGCTAAAATACTACTGCGTTGATGTCCGCTTGTAAAAGCTGAAATCCAACAAATGCTTTGATCCATGCTACATCTCCGTGTTGGAAAAGCCCTTTCATCTCCGTTCATGATAACATCTTACCCTATTCTACGCAAATCTGTCACATCTACTCTCAAACAAGACGCCAACTTCAAACGAAAACGCGTTCTACGATGCGTCTACACTCCATCCCCATATCATTGGCGTTGACTGGTCCGAGGTCGATCTTGTTCGCCTGTTTTCGGCGTCTTGACGCCCGCGCAATGCGAGCTTGTACCTCTGCACTCGCCGAGATATGGCCACCTGTGTAGCCACCGAAACGACCTGAAGAAGTCGTTCCTTGAAGACTCCTTTCAGAGCCATCGTTCCTCCGTCCCTTCCTCCCACGGCATGTGTCGCAAGTTCATCGATGAACTCGTAACCCTCCTCTCCAAGGCGGCCAAAGCTTTCCACGGCTAAGGTGGTAAGTTTAAAGCTGCGTTCGTCAAAGGACACGTGTCCCGGACGAGCGTAGTGCTGACGCTTTCGCGCCTCGGATGCTTGGGCTGCGATTCCATCGCTGGTCGCGCTGCCGTTCCGCAAGTGTACCTGTGCTTGCGGGTCTGCGTGTGTGACATCGAGGAGTATTCCTTTGTTGCGGTACCCCGGAGAAGATGCGTTCGTGAGGGCTCCTGGCCTGATGACGATGTCCATGCTCAGGTTTCTTTCCCCCGTGAACGGTGCCCCGCTTTCAACGTCGTGTTTGACGCGAAGGCCGTTGAGTGCTCTCGATAGTGCGTATTTTAACGGCTCGTGCATGTTGACCTGTGCTCCATCCCTTCGACAGGTCCTTGCGTGCACCGTTGTGATGATCTCGCCTTCCCTGCCTCTGTGGCACCTGGGACATCTTTCCGCCAAGAATTCTTCAACTCCCAAGGCGCGTCTCGTCGCGTAGACGAATTCGTTCGATGGAATCTCTCGAGCTCGGTCGGTGGGAGCCGCTCTCAGGAACGCTTGCCCCCCTTGCCCTTGCGAGCTTCTCGTTCGTGCGTATGCCATGTTCCTGGCCTCTTGACCTCCGTAGGGGTTGTCCCGCGTGGGTGGTACCGCCTCCTGGGGGAGGTGCTCCAGAGACTCCATGATCTTTTCAAGTTGTATCTTGTCAATCGCCTTGCCCAGTTTGTGCTGGGCTTTCCTCGGCGTAGCAGATTCCCCATCGTGTGCTGCCAGTTCTGCAACGGTGGGCTGACGCCTTCCGGTTTCTCCTGCCGGTTCTAAAGCTCACTCAACCATTTTCGGGGGAAGGATCCCCTTCAGAATCTCCACCGATACTCCATGCTCCTGGTTGAGTTCTTTGATAGCGTCCCCCATCCGCTCCACCAACACGGTTCCCGGTATCCGAACTCTCACCGACTCTCCCAATGGACCCCGTAACGCGGCTATAACCGCAGGAAGGGTGCCGACTAGGTTGCCCAGAGAAGCTGAGAACCTTCGCATAACGGCTGCTGGTAATCCTAGTCCTCCGGCTCCTGTCGACAGGCGCGCCTGGGCTTGTTGATAGGGCTTTAACTTGAAGCGGTCAGGCTGGCAGTCGTCTTGGAAGAACTCTTCTTCGACTTCGGTGTCTCTGAGCCCCATCGTTGCCTCTAGGACCCACATCACCATATTGTCCAGGCGTTTACAAGCCCCTCTCACTAGCTTATGATTGATGCCTCTCTCGATATTTCCGGATCGCTGTGTGAGCGATTGTGATGTGACGAGGTGAGCCACCTGTTTGTCTGGCATGTGCACCAGCATGCGAGCAAGCTTGTCTGCACCCCCTTCAGTTAACACTTTCATTGCGATATCCTCGACGTAGGCATCCGTCCCAATGGGGACTCCCACAACTGTGATGCCCTCCTCCGCAATCGGTAGGCCTGCATCGCCAAGTAGCCTCCTTTCTGCTGGCGTCACGTCGTGCCCTGGTGGGGGAAGCGCTGAGCTCTTCCCCCTGTTGACGATGATGCCCACAGCTTCTAGTTCGTCGACGAGGTCCGGTATCACCTGGATATTTTCCGCTGTGATATTTTTGAAGTGCAGGCTGATGTCGTCCATATAAGCTTTCAAGCTTACCCCGAGGTGGTCGTACTTGGCTCTAAGCTTCAAGACGATCGGGAATAGGATGAAGAAGAACAGGGGCGGTCCCATTCCATCTCCTTGCTGCACACCGCTCTTGCACTCGATCGTCCGACGCTCTCCGGAGTCCATCGCGTATATCGACTTTGCCGAGATTTCGTCGTAACACCTGGCGATGTACCCCACGAGATTTGGGACGCTCTTTGCGGCCTTGGCCATTATGGCGGTGCGCTTGCCCGTGTTGAAGGCATTTGAGCAATCCGTCTGGACTACCCAATGACCTGTCTGATGAACCAGTTGTGCGTCCATCGCAACTTGTTCAACTCCTCCAGCTACCGCCACTCCGAATTGGTCCGCTTCCCGAAATATTTCTTCCAGTTTCGGTTTCCACTCCCTGACCGTTCCCGCTGCAATCAGCCTTCTCCAAGTCATTCCAATGCACACTGGACGGCACTTTTCACCGAGGGCGATTAGACTGGATTGTTTCCAAAGAGTCCAGAACTCCGGTGGGAACGCGTTGGGATCGTTGATGAGCCTCCTCCAAAGGGACGACATCGCGTTGCTGAACTCTTCCCGACCAATTTTAGTGTTGACGATGGACTTAAGGTGGGAGAAACGTTGCCCGTCATTTCCTGCTCCAGAGTTAGAGCTTCTGCTGTTGATGACTTGAAGGAGTACTTGTGGATCGAACTCGGTTTCTGGCCTCCATCTCGGGGCGCTTCCTTCCTCCTCCTCGGTGCGGCTTGCAGCTATGGCTTCGGCGATGGCCTGCTCCACTTGTACGGGATCCTCATGCGGAAATTTGGCTTTCAGACGTGCCCATGTCTCGTCGTTCCCCGGTGACGGTTGATCGGCTAGGAGCGCTCTTGCTGCGTCCTTCACGCCTCCAGAGTGCCGGCATGCCTGCGCCGCACTTTTGAACTTGTCGTCGG